AAAAAAAACAATAACAACATCTTTTTCACTATCAGCAACAGTTTTAAAAATAATAGTGGTCATGATTGACCACTGAAATTCCACTGAAAGAAGCATCTCTATTAACTGCTGGTGGGAGTTAAAATGGCAAAAACTTTCTGCTATGATATTTATAGTATCATATCAAGAACCACAGAAGATTATGTTCTTTGATTCATTTCCTTTATAGGAATATATTTAAAGAAATATTTAAAGTATCAAAAACCACTTATACTTGCAAAAAAAATGGAAATATCATGAATGAACACTCGAATTATAATGTGAATACAGTATATTAGTGGCATTTTATGACACCATTAAAAATGTTTTCACAGACTATTTAGTGACAAGCTTAGTGAAAAAACAAAAAACATGTAGCCCAAATTCATATATACACATATAAACCTGCACAAATATGTATATATATGTGTGTATACAAACGAAAAAAATACCAAGAGAGAATTCTGTTATTGACAAAATATTAACAGTGTTTTTCTTTACTGGGATTATTTTTTGTATTTTGTTTTTCATACCTTTCTAAAACAATTATATTTTACGATTACAATAGTTGCTATTCATTTGAGCATCTCTTATGTGTTATTAAGATGTGCAAGCAGCTCATCGGTCCACCATTTCCTTATTCTGTGTTTGGATTATGCTTTGGACTTGTTAGGTTGACATAAATAAACATTAATAGTTTCATTTCCAAAGTTATTTATTTATTGTATTTGGGAATCAGATTTATCTGCAAAACTCTCCTTATGCAATTGCCTATTTTTAATTCTTATGTTAAGCCTCCTGTACTCAACCCACCTTGGGAGATTTACTTCTAACTTTTGAAACAAGGAACAGTTTTCGCTACGTAGGTAGACTTGGCTTTTTCCACCTGACAAACATGTGAACTGTTTTTACATTGGAAAGTTTCTCTGATTTCAGCTTTATGATGGAGCACAGCGGATGGGGCGCTACTGCGGAGAGGAGAGACCCCCTTCAGGGAGTACCACAAGCTCCAAGCTTCAAGTGCTGTTCCATACTGATGGGGTTGGTTACCACGAGAAAGGATTTCAGATGCAGTGGTTCATTCACGGTAAGCCCTGCACAGATGTCAGTTGTGTTTGTAGTTGCTGTTTGACCCAGAATTCTTCCCTATCCAATTCTATACTTGGAAACAACACCATCAACAAATACTGGAACCCAAGGAGTAATCTAGTGCTTGGCTTTAGAAAAATTTTGCAGACATTGATGGAACTTGGAAAGTTAAATCCTGTTCTGGTTAAGAGAGGAAGTGAAGTCAACATGGAAAGGATTTGGATAACTGCTTAAGTAGGTGCAGCGATAAATTGTGTTAGAGAAAGGAAAAAGCAAAATGAAGCTTTACAGGTGAAGACCTGTATCTGGGCGTAGCAAGCAAATTGCAAGATGGGATGAAAGTCTCTCAAGTGCGGTGGAATAGAACGAGACTTAAGACTCACCTTGATATTAAGCAGATAAAGGATGATAGGAATAGATGAGAAAGGATGAGAGTCAATCAGAGAGAGATCAGGGGAAGGAGAAGGGGCAGGGCTGGGGTGAGAGGAGGAGCAGTAGCAGAGAATTCGGCTGCAATGCATGAAGCCAGGGACATGTGTTGCACCTGTCAAACAGATAGGGGCACATCAGAGCCCATCTACAAATTGGTGGCTTGGGAAGCAGGTAGAGATGATCATTCCTCTGAAGATGAAAAATCTTTTTTAACAAGAGGTCTGAGACTTCAAGATTGACCTCATGGGGACCAGTCTACAAGTAGAGAGCCCCAGGACAGTGGTTCTTAAAATGTAGTTCCCAAAGAGCAGCAGCAGTATCACATGGAACTTGGTATAAATGCAAATTCTCAGGCACCACCCCAGACCTACAACATTACATACTCTAAAGGTAGGTGTGATAGTTTGTGTCTTGACTGGTCTCCTTGGTGATAAAAGTTGAGAACCACTGTCCTAGAAGGAGCCAGCCCTGAGCAATGTAGTCCTTGTGGGTGTTATAGCAGCAGTTCTCAACCAAATGTTCAGGCTCACTGGCATATTTCAATCAATTGGAAAGATAAGTTGCAATGTTATACCAGGAATCAAGCATGAACATTTGAACTGTGGCCCTTGTGGCTCATCAGGGATGAGCCCAAGGTGAGAATGGAATGAATGTGTGCTGTGGTGGACTCTTCGGGGCTGGTCACGCTATAGAGCACTCATTATGTGAATCCTAGAGCCATACATAACTGAACAGCCCTATTACATTCTCACGAGTGTTAGATCTTCTGACATTATGAATTGGGGACTGAATGTATTTCTGTTAAAATATAATTTTTTCAGTATTTGAAAATATTCAGTGGTAATTCACAGAGCTACCTATAGATTGCAACATAGACTGTGAATTCCCA